CCTTTGTGTCCCTTTTCCTTTCTGCTCTTTGTGTTTCCTCCTCTGCTGCATGCTCCAATTTTTCTTCTCCCTGTGGGCTTTATCAGTGCCCCTCTTCCTAGCCTACCTGATATAATGATCTGGATTGAAAAACTTAAGACCTACATGTAAAGTATCATCATTAGGTATTAGAGTTAACTTAATGGGTGAACTGACATCGCCCAGAACCACTCTTCCAGGCTGTCTTTAGACCCAGGAAGACAACATTGCCTCGATTATATTCTTCACATTTGGAAGGTTAACATTTTTTTAAAAAGCGTAGATTGTGCAATTTAAGAATATGTCTTGGTGCCACATAAATACAGCAAGTGAGATGGCTGTTTGACAGCACTGTCCTAGTGCAAATTAAGACGCTCTTACTTGTACAACACAGCCAAAGCTACTATATTCCTGTTGTAATACTAGTGTCCACTTAGAGTTCTATTGTCTATGTGTATATGTCATGTGTGAGACCTCTCCCACCTGTAGCAGATCCATGTGTTACAATGTAATCCTCTGAGGATTCCTCAATAAACTGCAAAACTAATGGAGGAGCAAGGTGCTGTGTTTATTACGTATCTACCAGTCTGCTTTACTGTTTATTTTGTACCTGTATTTAACTGGATACTATGTCATGATATTTTTGTTTTGGAAAATGCCAGCTCCATCCACACTGATGTGCACAAGAGAGGAGAAAAGCTCACAATCAAGGCCCACTAGAGGTTGACAGTACAAAATGTGCACTCTAAACATTAGGGAAACAAGACTTATTAATTTGTAATACCATACTGCATAGGCACTCTAGACATGCAAGACAACTCCACTGTGCAAGGTGGCGTCCAAGCACAGAAAAAAGGGATGGTTCGTGCCTCATCTAGATGCTTACAATCTAGAGTACCGCTACTTTGAAACCAGAAACTTCAGCACTTTTTAGCATATCCAAGCTAGATTGGATCTAGCTCATTTGAATAATAATAATAGTGAAGCTGAAGCAACCCAAGTGGCAGCACAGATTAGTCTCTTGAGTACATAGCTAGCTAGCTAGCTCAGGTATGTCTACACAATTACGACTGCAGTACGGACATAATATTAGTACAAGATGAGAGAAATAGATGGATATAAACAAACCACAATAAAAAGTAACCTCTCTCAACTGGCAAAAAAGGAAAGCAACAGTAAAGAACATTCAACTGAAACAGCTTTAAAGACAAGACTTGTGAAGCTTATGATAAAAAAAGACATCTTCTAGTATCAGATAATTTTTATAGTTTATTGTGCTCACAACAAGAATCCCAGATAACTTGAGAACAGCAGCAGCTTGGTGAAGTGGAACCATGATATCAGGATGTGAGATGCATCAATGAAAATTAGACTAGATCACTGTCTAGCCTAAAATGCAACTATTTTGCTTATATTTGGAATGGTACAAAAAGAAAGATTCTGTCAGAACTATCAGGCTAGGAGACAGATATCTAGAACTAGATATATAATCAGCCCAAAGATGATATACCTGGGTAAAGAGGCAATGGATTTATCGCTTGTTTTCTCATTCCCCAAAGAGTATCACAGCACACAAAGAAAATTACCAGAGGATTGAAAAAAGAGAAATAGTTACAGTTCTTCCAATGAAGGGCAACCCTTAAGGACTGCAAAATTGGTAGGAAATAATATTTTCCCAGAGAGTATTTTCTGTCTTGTGATCCTAAAGACACTCCATCAGACTTCTGTGGAGGCAGGAACTGAAGGACTGCACATTCTATTCACTGTCTTAAACCAGAACTGAAAAGAAGAATTAGTGCCGTATGAATGGCATTTTGGAATATTGGCCACTGTCTGATGCTGTGGTGTGAGCAAAGTGAACATGGCTGGGACAAACCCTAAAGGCTATTCTGCTGGTCCTGGATCAATGGATTACTGTGAATTCTGACCCCTTGTGCTGGCAGAGCCAGGAGAAGGTGGCATAAGGTAAAAAGAATGTGGGCCACCATCTGGCCTTAAATCTATATTCCCATATAAAGCTACAGCATTTGGGTTAAATCCTAAAGTTCTGTTGAGGTCAATGAAACTTTTGTTGAGTAAGTATATTAGGAAGCAGACTTTTGTTATTGAGATATTGTGGGAAGCTCTTATCCAAATTGCACAGAGCAGAACACCTGAGAATCGTTTACTGGATTTGTCCAATGAACAGGAGGCAAAAGAAATGAATGACAATTTAAAGCTGTGTGTCTGACATTATAGTAACTTACTTTCACAAAAGGTTCCATCATTAGTTACAAACTTCTCTTGACCAGTGCTAGATCTGAATCCAGTTAAACACATACAGTAATAACTTCCCACGGTATTGGTGCAGTTAGCATTCTCTCCACAAGGTTGTGTAGCATTTTCACATTCGTTATCATCTGTCAAGATGCAAAATACAGAAAAAAAAAATTTTATTTACATATTTAATAAAATAATAAAGGTTTAATCTGGGCTGCGATATAGTTTATGAATAGATATTGAGACTGATAAGCAGATTGTTTAGTAATGACCTTACCAATGCCAAAAACTTAATGATGCTCAAAGACACACAGGTATCTAAAGTGAAACCAGCTGTGTATTTGAAGTTAATAGAAATGCATGTACCAAGCAATGTTCTAGTAGGAACCCCCAATCCCAACCATGTACCAAATTAGATATGCTCACAGTTGGCAGATCTCTAGGTAGTGACCTAGTGTCATGTCCTGGGTCTCAGGACTAAGAGTTCCCAGACACTGTTGTATTGTTATCACCACCCAATATTGGCTGACACCTGCTGGGATGTATCATAGCCATTGGGGATTCAGTCATGCTATATACGTCAGAAGACGGCACAAGAAGTTGCCGGAGCAACTATGTAATTCCCTGTTGCTGCTGCATTGGCTTCTTCTTGTTCTTGATTCCTTCATTCTGCACCCAATCCCGTTCCTGACTCCTTCTGTGTCCCTGGCTCCAATTGCTTTGTTCCTGCTCCGCACCAAGCTCCTGCTATGTGCCTGATCCTTTCCTCTCCACTATTTCCTGCCTTTTGCCTCACTTCTGCCCATCCGTTACCTATCCCAGCTCTGCCCCTAGACTCTGGTAATTGGCAGTTGACATTATTGCTGACCTTTGACTTTATTCCCTGACTCAGACACATCTTGCACCAACCAAATCTGATTCCTGCTCTGACTTTCAGACAATTGTCCCAGTTCTTAACATGTGGTGTCCCCAGATTTAGACATTGAAGCTGGGCCATGGGCAGGTGCCAAAAGAATGTACAGTTATACAGTATATTGTTCTACACTGCCATCCTTCCAGAGATTTTCGGGAAAAGACTGCATTATCTTTGCTATAGAGCTTCCTTCCCTCAGGATCCTTGGGATAGTTAATGCCAAAGAGTAGAGGACTTCTGCCAGGAGTAAGAGTCCTGACCTAGTTAATGTAATCTTCATCTCTTGCAAATCCCTGGGCGAACCACCTACTATAAAGGCAGGCTCTGTGACATATTTCAGAAAAAAAGCCAATCCCATGTACTCAATAGAACAACCAGGAAGGAACTCCATAAAGGTAACATTCTGAAGACTACTTCTCTATACAACTTTCCTGTGAGTTTTATCATGTCGGCAGTAGAGAAGGGGGAATAATCCAATTAGTTTGACAAAACATCGTAAGAAGTCATAGATCCGTTCATTAGTCAAGTGAACCAATACATGCAACACAACTATTTCTTCTATAGTCTTTCATACACATTACATTTTGTATGTTCTAAACAATTAAATAATCATCTGACCAACCTGCATCAGTCAAGTCAGTAAAGTCTATTCATGCTAGCAAGATGACATATCACTGACATCTCCATGCACTCAAATGTTTTTCCCAAAACCTCAAAGAAAAAGAAATAAAATAACCTACACAATTACTCCAGAATACAAAAAATATTCCAAGAAATTTTTCTAATCCTGAAAGGGGAAGTTCCTGGTTATTCCCATAAAGTCCACTAGGGACTTTGTTCTTGCTTTTACATGAAAGGGGCTCAAATTCTACACTGATGGGGTCATTATAAAAAACTAAGATAGACAGCTGTAACTATTAATTACAGAATGAAAATTATATGAAAAGGCATGAGAGCAGGGAAGAAAAAAATGATGGTAAATGTCACAGATAAGGTGTTCCTGAACACCGAAGCAAGACTGTGCCAGTGGCTGAAAACAATACCAAAGCGCCAAATGAAATGGGAGACTGGCAAGAACAGAATGAGCCAACAACTATAGAGGAACAAATTTCTGTAGTGTAACTTTTTCTGGCATAAACCTTTTCAGCTTTAAACTTAATAGGAAGCCCTTTCACTACATGTGATTTAACACACCTTTCAGTTAATTCGCAGTGCAAATGCCAACTCAGGAACATCAAATGGATTTACAACATTCTCCAGGGGACTTTGGGTCAATGCTAATGAATAGATTACACTCATTATAACTAATATTGTAATTTAATTTAATAAGGAATCCAAGTGTAAAAGCAATTTGCTAATGTATGTTAACAGTATTTATTTTATAGCTTTAGCAGCTGTACTTCTGAGAAAACAATAGAGAAGGGTGTGTGATTTGGCTCTCACTTACAAAACACTGGTGTACACCCAAATTAACTTCAGTGAAGTAATGGAATTGCTTTGGGGGAAAAGTGGTGTAAATGAAATCAGAATTAGACCCTAGAAACTGATAATTTAAGCTGTGAGTACTTCATGGTTTGTGGCATGCATCTCACTCCAATGGCAACCATGCTAGAGTACAAACTATAGAGAATTTTAACCCCCATGGAGTTTTTCTTCAGAACCCATGTTCTTGGGGACAGTGACTCTGACTTTATGGAACTGAATTGTGTGTGTTGTGTGTTGCTCAAAATGATACTGGTACTATCATTATAACCCTAGCCATTCAGTCAAAAAATCAGTATGGTTACGAGTGTGCCATAATTTCAGCTATTAGGATGGAAATATTTTGTGTTGGGGCAGACAATGCAATCACACTAGGTTTGGAAAATATGGAGGTGGAACCCTTAAAAGAACAAGAGTGGTGAGAAGACTGATTATACAGATAGTGATTTAAGCCCAAGGGAAATACAGCTGAATAGACAGAGGTCATAGAATTTTGTGAGTGGGAAAAATGAAAACGCCTGTCTTTGTTTTCTAGTGTCTCGGACACAAGAACTGCAGTCCCACAAGTCTGGCTGTATTACAGCTCTCAAGTGGCCCAAAGAACACTCTCAAGCAGTATAAACTGACTCATACAGTGGACATCATTAAAATCTTTACAGTTTTACCTAATTAACTTTCCTGTGGCATTGGCAGTATTCCATATATTTAGGATGCTCATAAATATTTTAATTGTAATCACCATATATTAGAAGGATCTCCTGTTCTGGGAACCTTTTCAGAGAAGTGCTCCTGCTCCCCCCACTTTCCTGAGAGAAAAAAAATCTCTTTTTAGTCACTTTACAAGTCTAGCTTGTTTTCATTCATCTGGCTTGCCTAGTTAACAAGTACAGAATTTTAGGCTGCTTACACAGAGGCATTGTAGGAACTCCATACAAGCAAGATTCGGAGAGCTAACTTCCCATATTACTTAAAGTTACGTTTACAGAGTTGCAACTCCATTTGCATCAGTGGCTCTAATCCAGATTTACTGCCATGACACAGAATCAGGAATAATTTTGTTCCACAATGTTTACGAAGGTTCTAATAACTGTGCACACATGAAATATCTCATTGTCAAGGAATGAGAGAAACTATTTATTGAACCTAAAATTGCTGATCAGGTGCGCAGCAGGAAGCAGAAGTTGGTTGCTCTCTGGCCCTATCAGCACTGTCTGTAAATGTAGGCTACAACTATGCATGAGTATGAGGAGAAATAAGTCTCAGCCTCATGGGAGTGTGAGCCTTAGCATCCTTGATGCGAGTGGGATTGGGCACATGTTGTGAGGTGCTTTATTGGATTGGAGCAAGAGTTCAGAGTTTGCAGGATAGAGTATCTCAACCAAAGTCACACTGCATTGTTTTCATTAATGCTTGATAAAAGTCACCAATTGCTCCTTGTCAAGGACATTACCTTTCCCTCCTGCTTATACTGTGTACCTGCACTGTGAAGAAGATACTTTTCTGATGAGGGACAAGGCACTAGAAATAGGAGGAATGGGAGAAACTATGAGACCTGTCTTGACAGAGAGATAATCTTTGAAGGGAAATGGTAGAAATCCCATCACTTTAGACAATTAATTTAAAATAACTGGACCAAGCACTAGAAAATGCACATTAGAGAAGGAGCCTGCATCTGCAGAGGTTGAGAGATGCCCGGTAGCCGTAGTTGATATTGCAATTTAGACTTGTGCAGAGTAAGTGCAAAGTCTACCAAACTCAGAATGGCAGCATTTTACATCATTTTGCATAGCTGTCAATGGTGACACAGGGTGCACAGTAGAGAATGAGGCAAAACATGACTTTGCCTTCTCTAACCTGGCCATCAACTCTCCTTTTAGGAAGATACAAAGCTTGACATAATCTAGATTGGAATGAAAGAAACCTGAAAGTTATCAGACATGAAACTCAGCAATTTACATGTCAAAAACAAGCAAGCATCTGAAGGGCTGATCTGTTATCAATGAAGACTTGACAGTAAACTTTCATTTAATTTTCCGTACAGTCTCCGATAGGACACAGATAGATATAGATATAGATAATCTCTCTGGTCCACAGAATTATATCCCCACTATATGTGTGTGCACATGTGTACGCGTATGTGTGTATACACACACACACACACACACACATTGGGGATATAATTCAGTGGATCAGGTCCTGCTCTCATTTAAATTAATCAGAAAACTATCACTGACATCTATGGGACAAAGTTGATGTTCACTATGAAGAAAAAAAATCCTGAATGACTTCAAGGGACAGAAAGGGAATGTGTTTGCAAGAAAAAGGACAAACTTTGAATGGTCATGTTTAAATATTCCACTTGAATTCACACAACATATTTTAAAATCACTAATAACAATAAAACATATTTTTAAATTATTTATAGTGAAGATATTGAGATATGGTATAAAAAATCCAGTGTGAAGCCCTGTGTTCAAAGATGTTTTTCATACATAATTTACAGTGCTCACAGATTTGTGGTTTATGGGAGTCAGACAAAATCAAGATTTATAGATTGAAAATTCTATAACTCCTTCTTAAACAAATTTGTTTAGCAACATGGACAGGAAGGAGGATACCCTAAATGACAAGCAGGCATATAAGCCATTTGCTTTGTTGCTGCCTAATTTAATTATGATATGAGCATGAACTGTAGAACAACTGCTGGCAAAAAAACCTTTTAAGCATTACAGACAGAATTTCAAG